GTGCTGATAACACAGGGATGTTTTTGTTACTGCTGAGCAAGGCTGACACAGAGCCAAGGCCTTTTCTGCTTCTCACTCCACCCCACCCCACCAGAGAGGAGGCTGTGGGGAGCTCAAAAAGTTGGGAGGGGACAGAGCTGGGACAGCTGACCCCAACTGAGCAAGGGATATTTCCTGCCATATGATGTTTTTCTCAGCAATAAAAAAACTGGGGAGGGGGTTTTGCCAGGGCTGCCATTGCTCAGGGACTGGCTGGGCATTGTTTGGCTGGTGATGAGCCCTTGAGGTTTTTTTGCATGACTTGTTTTTCTTGGTTTTGTTTTTATTTATTTCCTTCTTTTACTGATTAAACTGCCTTTAACTCAACCCATGAGTTTTCTCACTTTTACCCTTACCCTTCCAATTCTTTCCCCCATCCCACTGCGGGCAGGGAGGAGGGAGTGAACTTTTCAGTCAGTGTATCTGAAATTTAGTAGGAGACATCAGTGTTCTACATTTATTCAGGAAGGCAGAGAAGTAAATCAACTTCTCCCAATTTCCAACTTCCACTTAGCCTTGCAATTTGAAATAAACTAATTAAATTGGGCATAGAAAGAATAAAAACTGAAATAAAGACAACATGTTCTGGAACCTCTAGAAGAAGCAAAAGCTGGTTTATCATGTCACCAATGTATGCTTCCAGATGTTTTACAAGTGACTTCTCTCAAGTCAAGATTAAACTTTTCTTAAACTTCAGCAGTCACCATACATAATTTGAATATCATTTGCATTTTATTTAAATAATTTAAAAATTAGATGGCTTTAAGGTATTGATCACAAGAATTTTTCCTACCATGCTTTATACAGCAGTGTTAAAAACATTTTTCAAGTATACACTGGAAATTGGTTTTGTTCTGCTATGGGTCAACAAACGTCTTGTTACCTCTCAGTTAGGAGGTAAAATTATATCTGTAAGAAAACCATTCTAAGGTATCTCCTTGGTGAAAATCTGCAAATACTTCACAACATGGTAGGCTACTAAAGGACGTGTCTTTTCAACAAAGCAGGGGCCACCAACCACATACCTGGCTAATACCATGTTAACATTAACAGAAAGTAAGAACCAGGTGTCTGGGAAGCAAGAGGTCTTCTCCATCTTGCACCAGCACTGCTTTAGAGGGAGAGCATCGGCAAGGCACAGAAGTGGCAGAACCAGATAAAAGACAGAGTCCCTATTTCCTAGCAGTTGGGAAAGCTGTAATGTAGATCAGTAAACAAGATGAGACCTACAGAAATAAGAGCAGATAGGCAGGCAGTCTCACAGGTGCAGTAACATGAAGGGAAGCTCGTGGGCCTGCTGAAGAAGGAAGAGGATGCTGCTGTCTGGCACAGTCTACTTAACAGTGGGTCGGAGTTAGGAAGAGACAGTCCAGATTTTTCAGCTTTTAACTTTTTTGCCTAAGTTTCCTTTCTGAGCAAACGTTGCTGCTGAGGGAAAATGTCTATCTGGTAATTTTTAATGGTAAAATGCCCTTCTTCCTTTGTTTGGGCCATGGTATAATTCCTAAAGCAGGCAGGCACAGGCTTATAGGGAAATATGGAGAGATATTCTCTCTATCTATACAAGAGATATTGAAAACTGAAGGTAAGATACCTTTTAATGAGTCTTTTCCATTTTACTAAGTGGCTAACACCCAGCAGGACTTCACGAAAACAAACGGGCCCCATACGTTCAATAGAAAGGCACCACTAACACATGCATGTACATATGATGCTGTGCATTTCTGTATGGTGACTTTCTGCCGTGAAGAATTCCTGTCCTATCTGCGCTTGGGCAGAGCAGAGCACGTTACTGTTTTCTTCCTGGCAAGCTGTGGCAGTTCTTGCTTTGTACAGTTTACTGAAGGACTGTATTAATTTGATTGACTCCAGATCAATGGTGTCTCTAAATAAGATTAAATTACACGTTCCTTCTGTCTGTGTGTTACAGGAGATTAGTCTTAGAAGAATCTCAAAGGAAGCAATTAGCTGATGACTGATGTAATGAATCCTAATTATTTTGTTTGTACAAACAATAAAGCCAGAATCATTTGTTTAGCAAGGAAATGTAATTACTCTGAGCGCTCGAGAAAATAAATCAAACAGCACTACCTAGACCTGTAAATAATGAGCCTTTGACTTCCTATTTATACTAAGAATGCTCACAGAATATTTTCAGGTAGCTGGGAGACAACCTTTGAAAGTAATATTTATCATAGTTATTATTGAGCCTTTGCTTGATTATGTCCTTGGGTGTGCTAGGTACCCTGCAGAAATATCCATCTACATTGCCCTGTCACTGGCACCTGCTAAAAATTCACTGCAGCCAGTGCAATTTCCTGCAACTGTTTTTTGTTAATCAACAAGAAGTCACTCACATCGCAATCATTAGCCCGTACTGTTCCTAAGGGCACCAGTGGCTAGGGGCATGTCCTCAGCAAAGGATGAATGATGAGAAAAAAAAAAGCACATTAATATACATGGAGCAGGCTCTGTTCTGCCCAACATTTGGCCGTACAGGCTAGAAATGGAATAAAAACAGAAGGCAATGGAAAGAGACTGGCCACAGCTGGGTCTCCCCTTCTCCAGGTTGATCTGCTGCTGCTGCAAAATAGTCACAGTTCAAACAGGAGAGACAAGCAGAGTCACTGGGGACCTTGTGCTGCAGAAAGCAGAGATCAGTCCAAAAATACCTGAAATTCTGTCACCTCTGCTGATTTTGTGTGACCCAAAAGCATGAGCGAGCTGACAAATTAGAGATAACTCGATCCCATTGGACACAAACTCACTGGATATTGCAAGTACAGTGATGCAGCCCCCAACCATGTGTACTTTCTGCCATTCTCTCAGGGCAGTTGGTTTCCTTTACCATGGTTTTGAAAGGATACTCAAAGCATACAAAAATACTTTGCCTAATCTTTCTTTCACTTTTAGCCACACTTTAGGTGTTAAATCTGAATTTAACATCAACTGCAAAGCTGCAAAAAAGCCACTTTTCCTCTTTTCTCAGCCTGAACAGCAATGGACCCAAATGGGATCAACATTATTTTCTGGTTCTCCTAAGCAATGCTCAACAGCATTATGGCAACACAGGCTCACATCCTGACAAAAGCCTTAGCCTGAATGAAAGACACACCTCTGCCTACAGTAGTACTTGGATCCTTACTGTAGTGACACAGTTTAAATCCAGGATGAATGCCCTGAAGTCAGCAAAATCACACTGAAGTGAGCAAGGTGTAAGTTGTTACCGCAACATTTGTACTGGCTGGAGGGAAACTGCAAATCCGTTGTTGGTGCAATGGGAACCATTTCCTTCATGCTTATGAGGTATTTTAGTTCCTTGTTCCTTCCCGCCCTGAGCTGTTTCTCTTTGTTTGTGTTCAGTAGCTATTAAAAACTTATAGAATGCTTTTTTTGTGCTCTTGCTGTAAGCCTAATTGACAAATGTTTGCCACCTGCCATTATGTTATTCCAGTATCCTTCAAAATTAGCTGAAGACTTTCGTCTCCTTCAGAGAAGTTAAGGAGGAATAAATACCACCTACCCCGAGGCAGGTGGGACAGATGGATTAAAAAAAACGTATCTAATTGCACAGTAGAGATATGCTTATGCCTAAAGCTTTTGTTTTGTTTCCCCCTACAAACAACTTTACCCAACAAAATCATATGAAAGCAGAGAATTCCTTGGTCAGTCTTATGGACTATCTCTTTAGGCCTCTTCTAGGGGAAAAAATGTTTGGCTGACTCTACACCAAGCATTACAATGTCACACTGTCTTTCCAGCCTGAAAAATTCTGGTCACCTTACGGTATGAGCAACAGTACCAAACAATTAATGCTGAGCCAGATGGGCAAGAACAGAAACTCTTTGGGGGGGTTTCAGGAAGGCTGAACGGTGGCAAAAACTATTCAGGGGATGTGTGAAAACTATGTTAAATTGGCCAGTATTTCACCGGGGAAAAATATCAGAGATGCTACTCCACATTTGAGTACCAGAGGGATATCTCATTTGAACGAGGAAGTCTTGATTTCTGGCCATACTGGAAGTGCACTGTACTGCACCCTTTAAATATTGGTCTCTTCCAAAGAGATTTTGCAACAGGAGAAATCAAGTGTTTGATTTAGCTTAAGATGATTATGTGATTATGTACCTGCAACACATTATTCATCCAATCTACCTTGTGTTAGGCAAATAAAGACTTATTCTATTCCTTCTAAAAACAAAAGGAAAATGAGATGACAAAAGTAGAAGCTAACAGTGTCTATAAACCAAGCAAACTGTGACAGAGGAAAGACTCAGTTCAACACTGCTCAGGCCAACAGAAAAACCCACTGACTTCATGAAAATGGGATCAGAAATGCTTCTTGGGTTTAATAAGAAATTGGCAGCATTTTGTTTTCTTTAAGCTTCTCCTTATCATCTCCTGTACTGCTTCTGTTTCTTCTGTCATCACTTCCAAAAGAAAATCCTTCACAGGAGGAATTCTGCTGCTTTAAATAAGGATTTAGTCTAATAACATTAGACAAATCTCTTGACTTTCTCTGGTTTTCAGCATTAGAAAAAAGGTGAACTGAATGATCCAAAGCAATTTTTTCATAAGTGTCTAAAGAATCAGAAGTCCCATTTTCAAAATTATTTTAGGCACTTGGCCCCTAAATCCATTGGAGAGAGATTTGGGCTCTTCCTCAGTATCTTTTGAAAAATGAATTAATTTCATATAGCATGTAGATGTTTAAAAACTGAGCTCCCCTACTCTCCCAGGAGATGGATATCTAGCTTCTAGAAATACAGTAAGCATAGCTCAAGAGTAAAAGCTCTGTAATATTTTTCCTGTTAAAATCTGGAGAAAATAAACTTTTTTAAGAGAGGCTTTTTAATAACCAAATTAATCTCAAGGATCTTTAGAAAAGTTCAATTTAAAATAATTATCTTCAAAATGTCTGACCAAACATTTTTTAGCTTAATGATAGTGAACTGTCATACCTTTCTGAATCTGTCCGTTTCTTCCAAAGATCCAGGACTCTGCTTAAAATAAAAAAAAAAAAAAAAGAAAAAGAAAAAGAAAAAAGAATCATGAGCTTAAGACACCAGTGGAGCTTATAAATGAGTATTCACCTGATAAGGGATGTTTCTTTTGAATTCATGATCACCTGGACAGAGTGAACCATCACGAGATTTTTTTTTTTTTTTTTTTTGAGCTTTTTAACACACATTAGGCATAAAGTAAAATGTTTTCAGGTTCTTGACCATTTGAATCAGAGAAGCAGTTCCTCCAGCAATAGCTTTGACTTTACTGACACCTATTGACTATATTTATGCTTACACAAGATTTTGGTCAACAAAGCATAACTCGTTACAATCAATGGCAAACAATTCTTAGAAATATGCTCTTTATTAATACAGATCATGCTCTTTATTAATAGAGTATTCTAAGTAAGCTTTGGATTTGAAGACAAGGTTTCCCAAATCAGAAAATTTTCAGGTGCCTCAAGTTTTAGGTGTTCGAGTTCAGATACCTTCCAAAGCACTTGCATACAGAAAGTACCAAATGCACACCTCTAAAGTCTAAACCTCCAATTAAGGTATCTTGAAGTTAAACACAATGTAAGTAGCTAAGCTAGAAAAATCTTATTTAATAATTATGTATGTTTACACTAAGAACATCTTTAGCATGCCCTGCAATGTCTTATATATGGGGATGAATTCTGCCTGTTGTGGTTTAACCCTGGCTGGCAACTAAGCACCACGCAGCCTCTTGCTCACTCTGCCCACCATGGGACGGGGGAGAGAGTCAGAGGAGTAAAAGTGAGAAAACTCGTAGGTTGAGATAAAGACAGTTTAATAGGGAAAGCAAAAGCCGCACATGCAAGCAAAACAAAACAAGGAATTCATTCACTACTTCCCATGGGCAGGCAGGTGCTCAGCCATCCCCAGGAAAGCAGGGCTCCATCACGTGTAACGGTTACTTGGGAAGACAAATGCCATCGTTCCAGATGTCCCCCCCTTCCTCTTCTTCCCTCAGCTTATATATGCTGAGCATGATGTCATACGGTATGGTATAGCCCTTTGGTCAGTTTGGGTCAGCTGTCCTGGCTGTGTCCCCTCCCAGTTTCTTGTGCACCTGGCAGAGCTGAGAGCTGAGAAGTCCTTGTCCAGTCTAAGCACTACCCAGCAACTACTAAAACATCAGTGTGTTATCAACATTATTCTAGTACTAAATCCAAAACACAGCACTATACCAGCTACTATGAAGAAAATTAACTCTGTCCCAGCTGAAACCAGGACACTGCCATTCTTAGCATGTCTTGTATGTAACAACTTGGTAACTTCTTTAACCATTTGGTTCTTGCATTAAAATACCTCCTCTTTATTTCATTCCAAATCTTTAGCCCGTAAAGATGGTTTCAAAAAGGACTTGGTCCTTCTGTGCACAAGTTACTTTGAGTCAGTTCAGTCAGTGGCTATTCTGATCACTGCCTCACAGCTGGAGACACAAATAATGAACAGAGAATATATTCTTACTGCAATAACCATTAAAAAAATAATTCAGTGGAGAACGTTGTGTGGAGAAAGGGGAGAAAGCCAGAAATCCATGTGCCCAGAACTAGGTGTACATCTAAAATATTCACACACATAAACATCCCTCAGTCTCCAACTGCATGTATCTTTGACAACAGCCAACTGTCATTCTGTTTTGAACCTTCTATTTTGAGAAACAGTCTGAACATTGCTTACAAAAGGAAAGAGATAGCACATAACTTTCATTTTCGTACAACAATAGCTGTGCTTATATTTATAAATACATGACTGTTCGTTCTGTCTTTGATGGCATTTACTAAGGGACCTTTTAATTAAGTAGACACACACATGTACTGTTGAATTATGACTAGCAATGTGAAGCAACCTAAAAGAGCAACGGCAGAGATCCGCAGCTGTGAATTGAGTGCTGTCACCTACCGGTGAATTCATGGACTCTTTCAGTTTAGATTTGTAAAGCATCCATCGGTAACGCAGGTCCTCCAGATCTTCAGAGTTTCCAATGACAGGATGAAGATGAAGAAGGTCCTCAAACTGACGCTGACCATCTGGCACACGAGACTGCAGCTCCTGCAGGCAAAGACAAGGTCAGCAGCAACTCAGAATTCAAGAAGGCCCCACTTTCTAAATCTAGCATTCAAAAGAACAGTGGTACTAAATCGAACTACTGGGTACTCTAGAATAGCGTGTTTATCTTTGTTACTGCTTTTTTGTCCTGAAATGATATAAAACGTTCTGCTTATCTGCAGGACTCTTGTAGCCTTGAGTATTTGTTTGTTTAATTTCTTACAGCATCCATTATCATTGCATCTGGTTATATTCAACAGAAAGAGAAAGAGTGAGGCCAAATACCAGACACTGATTTTAATCAGCTGCTTTTAATGAACACCTTTGCCATACCACACTGGAAATGTCCAGTCCAACAGCTAGATGCCAGGCTGCTCCCTTCCCTTCTACCACTCTGGCTCTGGCAGACTTTTCTTAGTAGAAGGGGTGAAATCCTTGTCCTAAATTCCTGAGCTTCATCTACCCTAGAGTCTCCTAAAGCAGAGAGCATAGTGTTTGAGGGTTATTTTTTTACGGTTTTGGGGTTTTTGTTTGTTTGTCTGGGGGGGCTTGTTGGGTTTTTTGGTTGGTTGGGGGGGTGGTAGGTTTTTTTGTTGTTGTTGTTGCTTTCTTTTTTTAATTCTGAAAGGACCTGCACTTACTGCAATCTTTGCCTCCATCTTCATCGCCTGAAAACTAACCTCCAGTCTGCTCTGGCGTGCCTTAATTTCCTCTGTGGAAGATGAAGTTGCAGCAAGAATTTTGGTCAGTTTGGTGTTTTCTTCTTCTAACCACTCTTCAAAGTCATGTAGGAGCTTCAAGTGGCTGCTCGTATTTTGCCCTTCTCCTATCCCCTCCTAGATTACAGAACAAGAACAAAAAAGCCCTTACTGTTATGTCAGATGTTTCCTCTGAAGGCCTGATTGCAAGATCTTAAGCTCCAATTTTGTAACCCATAATATCAGATGAAGCCAGTAAAATTGTTCTTGTGAAGCTAATATAAAGGCAGATACAGAGTCCCCCTCTCACCTGCTTATGGTTGGGATCTACATCTAAAAGATGGAGGGCAGGTCCAGACATCCATCTGCTGTCCACAAATGCTACTTTCTTCTTCTTATCAGCCACTGGTCTATTTAAATGCCACTTTTTGAGAAGTCTTGAAAACACAAAACCAGAGATATTAGTGCAGTGAAACGTCTAGTGATGAGACATCAACATTTTGATCAGTGCTATGGGAGACAGCTCAGGTGAAATAGCACTATTATTATTACACTGTTATTACCAGTAATAGCACTGTCTCAGAGCAGCACCAGTCCTCTAGTTCTAACATTTCCAAGTGTTTTGTTTTCTTTTATGCAGGGGAGTGAGGAACCAAAAAAAAGTACTACCTTGACAATACACCTTCCAGTCTGGTAACAGCAGGCAGTACAATCAAGCCTTCCTCAATTTAGTCATTCCATTTTTATGCCTATTCTGACACTATGTGTGAATATATTCACACATGTATCACAGTATTAAATTTTAATACAGACTAGCAAATATGAGCAGCAGTTTGACACTGCACAGCAAGGGCAAAATAAATGAAGTTCACATTTGCCAACTAAGAGTGGATTCTAGCTCTGCTTATACACTTGTGGGTTTGCAAAAGGCACAAATCCCAGTGCAGATATAGCCTTCTTGGAGATATCTCCAGGTCAGACAGCAAGGAGAACAGGAAGGTGAGACGGAACAGCAGAAGTCACCCAGTCTATATCCTATGTCCTCTGATACGGACTGGTAGTACAAGGGTGAGCCAGGCCCTAAGGAGACACTGCCTGCTCCAAGCATGCGATAAAGGCAGCTTCATAGACTGCTCTGGTACCCAGATTCTCTAAAATGGCTTTCTAATGATTTCCAGGTTACAAGTGATTAAATAAAATCTCATCTTGCTCCTAGCATTGTAACATAGCTGTTCGCTTTCACAGCACAGAGCACAAAGCATCAAGTGTGTCTGGTCATATAGCAGCAAAGAGCATCCCCTTGAAGGGACATGACAAAGATGTACAAGAACACTTACCCAGTTGCCATCTCCTTCAGTGATCTCCATGACTCCTTCAGCTGATCCAGCTCTGCCTGGACATGGGCAGTGTCCTCTGGAGAAGAATTCTCCATGACCAGCTGGCCATGAGCTTCCACAAGGTGCAGCTGGATCTCCTTATCTGGAAACTCAGCTAGCCATCTCTGAAACGTACAGCCCTTACAGTTACTTCTAGGTATCCTGGGTAAAGCAGAGGTTATGTCAGACTGAAGGCCATGTTCAGTCCAGGACTATGCTGGTTTTGTTGGCACTAGCTAGAACATACCTAGCAGGAGAAAAAAATACGCTGTGGATTCTTACAAAGAGCCAATGTAAGTCAAAGAGCTGATGGCAAAACTTAAAGGGCACAAGCTGTCAATGCACCCCTTCTGTAGCCTTCCCATTAGGTATCTTGGTTTCCCATATGAAGGCAAAATCTGCCAGCTAAAGTAACCTGCCAGAGTGAATCTAGCATGCAAAATACTGCTACACAGGGGAAGGCTAGCAGCTGTGAAACAGCTCAGTTCAAGACAGTATAAAGTTCGCTAACAGGGTAATAATGTTCAATGTATTGATCAGTGCATACAGGCAAAGATAGGTATTGTCCAGAGAGATCGCCCTGGCAGGAAGAGCTCTTTTGAAAATCACCTATCCTCTGATAATACTTTATCCATGTCAACAGTTCTTAGACATTTCTTACTGTTCTTGTCTTCCACCTAGCTCCACATCCCACAGCACAGAGCAAAACAGGGAGGCAGCAGCAACCAACAGTTATCGCAGGAGAAACAAACCACCATTACTCTCCCCAACCAGGAAACTCTCGCTAGAAAACCCTTGCCCTTCATGTCTGAATGCTGCAAAGTGAATAATTAACATCTTACACTAAGAGGCTTTTCTCACCTCAAGGTCTGCCACCCTGCCCTCGGTGTTCTGCTCTCCATCAGCACTCTGGTAGGACCCAATCTTCTCTGTGGTTACTGTGATCCACTGCTGGAGGTCAGAGAGTTTGTCATTATATGCCCAGTGCTTCTGAACGTGCTCCTCACTCTGCTGTATCATCATCTACAAATTATAAAAATATGTCAGCAACTAAACACAGACAAAAAGCAGTTTCATTACTGGAACTAACACTGTGACTACTGGCACAGAATCTCATGGGCAAAAAGGAAAAACAAAGCTGTTAATGAGACACAAAAAACTTTATCCTTTAGCATCAGTGCCATAGAAAACACCTACAAGCTCCTGCAGGCCTGAATTCAACCACATTGGGGGGTATTAAGCACTAGAATAGCTCCCTTCCATTTCAGCTGAAACAGAATAAAGAATATGGGAGGGGGGGGGTGTTTATACCCCAGTGAATATTAAATACCTCTTATTCTCCTTGAATCAGATGACTGTACAGACTTTTTTGGAAAAAGTCCAGTTCAGCGATAAGTGGGATTATCGAGATTGAAACTAGAATTCTACAGTGCATATTAGGGTAACACTATCATATGTATTTTCACGGTGACCTGCATAACTAAGGTGACTTTTTAAGCTCTTCTTCTGAGACAGCTTAGAAACATCCTTTTATAACTGTGTTTACAAACTACAAAATGCCTCAGGTCAAAACAAGTAATTATGCAACTGCAACACTTTTCTCTCATTAACTTTTAGGTCACAAAACTATAAAACCCCCCAAATAGTTTGATAGAAAAAAAACTATCCAGGAATCTGTGAAGACGTCCAAACACCTCCATGGTAGTATATCTATGAGGTCTTTTGGTCAGAAATCTCAGGCCCACTCCCAAAATAATTTAGATAGATATAAAATCTGTGCAGATGGTATCCTATCCCAAAGGGAAATCACATTACAGGTACAGTACAGTACAGAGAATCCTGGAAGAGTTATCAAAGTTGTAAGAATTCAGTGCCTTCTTCCCCTAAAATGAAAATGTCTGCCACTCAAAGCATACAGTCTTATATGCTCAATGATTTTTTTTATATATCTTTAAATAGAGGCAACTGACAATTCCTCAGGCAACTAAAAACTCTTCCTAATGTTACCTCCAATGATCTCTTCAGGGCCTGCAAGTCAGATGTAAGTTGGTTCATTTCATGCCTGTGTGTGGTATTTGACTGAACAAGCTTTGCTACCTCATCCATTTGAATCACAAGCTCTGCCAAGTCATCTTGGATCATCTGCAGAGGAAAAGACAGATTCCATAGGGGTAACGTGCTAGATGTGACACGGACCTCCACAAAACATACACTGAAAGTAGTTTCATTTGACAGTGTGAAGGGGGAAAAAGCCCCAACAAACAACAATCACTGTCATTAAGAAAAATATTTTTTTTTTTATATCTAGATATAAATGTTTCCAAAAGAAATGATTGGACATTCTTACATGTTACCCGTTGATAACACAGAAGACAACCTGCTGAGAAGCTGCCAGGGGAGACACAGTTAATTAGCTAAGTATTGCAAAGACCTATGGTGATAACACCCCTGTGGTCAGCAAGGGTGAAGTGGCAGCATATAGCTGAATCGCTATAGCTCACCATGGTGAAAAGGAAGAGTCACATCCCCTCTCTCTTCCTCTCCTGCTCTTCTCTCACCTTTCCTAGCTACGCAGTCCCACTGCATGCCTTGAGCAGGCTCTACTGCATGTTGGACCCTTCGCTGAACCAGTTCAAAACACTAACCAAGTGGAAAATTATCATCTTCTTGTTGATTGTTTTTTTTCTTATCTTGGCCAGCTGAATTGGCCCATGGAGTAAATCTAGCACATGTAAAAGCTGTGTCAAGGTAAAGAGCAGGAAGCTGAGAGTGCAGAAGGAGGTAGGACAATGGGAACTCCCTGCTTCTAGAGGGAATTAAGATTGGTTTAGGTTATCTTGAGCAGTTTCACTCCTAGTGGGAAGTATCAGGACACATTTTCTTCAGTAATAAAACTAGCCCAAGAAGGTGTGGCACCAAGAGCTTCCAGCTGCTTGTTCCTCCCTCAAGCCCTGTTTGGCAGTTCTTCAGCTGCACTGCTTCAATTTCATCTGCTCCATGCTATAGACCGGACCAGATGAAATTATCTAACACACAATCAATTGAGGGGACAAGGTACTGAATCCCTAATGCTAATAAAATACAAACAAAGAGGACCACAATTAACTGAGGATATCATGGTCAAACATTACTGTAACGTACCTGGAGTCTCTGGAGTTGTGTCTTTTTACCCAAGAGGTCAGGCCGTGGTTCCTTCTCTAGATCTAATTTGGCTTTGATGGCAGATAATTTCTTCTGCAAAGGTGCGAAACCAGCATCAAAGTCTTCATGTTGCGATATCAAACTCAAGATGGAGAAAGAAGAAGAAAAAAAAAAAAAAAATCAGCATTCAATATATATCCCTTGGCATTATTTTTTCCTCAAAGTCCATTTCATGCTCAGAACAAACACCAAGCTACACTATGCAACAGACTACAAATTTATTTGAATATTTGATCATCCTAGAAAAAGGGATTGGGCACAGCTGGTTACTACTAAATTTAAGTCTATAAAACTGGCTTAGTAAAAGACTTATCATTGTCTTTGTCACAGGCAAAGACCATATATGGGCTTCAGAGCTCACCTGGAGTTTGCTCTTGCTTTGCAGAAGACTTTTGTGTAGAATTTCTCTCTCTTTTGAAGCTTCAGCTACTTCTTGCAGGAAAGACTTTGCTTTTTCCTCACCAAGGATATTGTTTAGCAAATCCTTCTTCAGCTGTAATGTCATCAACTTCTCTTTGAACTGGGAGCTTTCAGCTAGAGCAGCCTAAAGGAGAAAAATTCTTCCAGTGAAGTCATACCGAAAAAATAAAAACCATATAACCATATTATTCTCACACAAGTCACACAACCAAAGCAGTATGACAAAGTCAGGTAAAAACAGCATGCTGGGCCGACAAGGGGTAACAGAAGGTACCTGGACAGTGCCCAGTTAAAGGAAAAGTCTTCCTGATAATGTTAGAAGCACCAGGGCTGCATCCATTTTGTGAACAGAAATAGAGGAAAGCTGTACTATGGAAAGAGTTGTCTGTGCAGAGGAGAGGCCTAAACAACCAACAGAAAGGACAGCTTGAATGCTCATCCCAAGGATAAACTCCATCCCTGTTCACAGACACATTTATTCTGGAGATCACAGGGATGACAAATAACAAACACACCTTCCTGGGCACATGCAGAAGTCATGCGTTATCATCCCACGACTATATTACTACACACTTCTCAGCACAGTCCACAGACTTCCCGTCCAGGGAGATCTGGGCTAAGGCTAAGCAATATTATCATCTTGTTAAAGATATCTAGCACTTTAATTCAGCCTATTCACTTGACAACTCCAGTTAACCAAACGGAGGGCAGAAAGTAAGACATTCTGCCACAGCTAGAGCTAAGTATTGACCTCCATACTGGGGGGTTTCCTGCCGTACTGGACAGGCTCTCCCAGCTGCTGCTGTCCGGCAGCTGTGTGCAGGCAGCTGCTGGCATAGCTTCGGCAAACAGAAGCCAAGTATCAGTTTCTGAACTTAATAACAGGTTTGCTACCTCAATGTGAGCCAGCGCTGGCTCTGGAGTCTCCAGGAGCATCTGGACTGATGGCTTCCACTGTTCAAAATCTTGCAGGGGATTTTGGAAGAGTCTTCTCAGTTGGGTTTCTGTATCAGTGCTCATTTTAGATATCTTGCCTCTAACACTGCAAGGATAAAGTGACAGCCGAGAGAAGGATTACGAAGAAATCCAAGTCCAAACACCCTATTCATCAAGGCATGAATTAACACAATACTTGTGTGTAAACTGTATCCAACACAAAAGCCACAGTCTAAGAAAGACTGTCTGAGCCTGGTGCTGCAGGCTGACAGCTGCTCTGTCAGTCAGAGACATTCGACAAAACTATTTAGATGCCGTAAGACACATTTGTCTCTGTGCAACTGTGAATCAGGAATTACTCTGCCTTTCTAGCGGCCAGCAGTCTTCTCCTGTATGTGATCTTTCTTGGTTGCTATCATCAGAATGATTTAACAAATTGTATTATTGGAGCAGTCTCACTAACTGATGGGAGGAACAAGCCAAGAGTGTCTAGAATTTAACTGCAGTTGCCTGTATTGTTTTACATATTACCAAGTCTTTGTTCCTTTAAAAAAGTACATTAAGAAATCTTTGATTGCCCTATGTTACCTACAAAAAGCGGAAAATAGATATTTTTTTCAGATACAAATTTTTAAAATTTTGCATAACCACTTCTATTTATATTTATGTTTATATTTATATGTAGGTAATTCTGATAAAATCTTTGTATTTATATATATGTATACACATACATGCACATCTATATATATGTGTGTGTATATATACTGAAAAAAACAAATCTGCACACATTCATTAAATATCTTGGTTTTCTTATAAAGGCTTATCCAAAATACACCTGAGTAACAAGGCCTAGCAGTGACACACCCCATGCAGCTGCCTCCTGTTTTTCTCAGCTCTCCTGACCTCTCTCAGTTTGCAGAATCCTGTTTGATATGGCACAAAGCAGCCCAAACTGTATATTCGTATGGGAACAGTATCCTGCAAATTCACAAGACAGGCAGGCAAGAGCAATGCCAATCAAGATTAATACTGCCTTTCTATAAAAACAGAAACAACAATCTTACCTGTGTCCCTGGGACGTTATGGAGCTAAACAAAGGCAAGCTTGCAGGGGCCAAAAGCTCCGCAAATAGAAAGTTCTGACATTACGTGTCCTTTGCCATTTGCTCTGCTGCTCCTGCCAGGCTCAGCGTGAAGCTGCCAGACTGTGCAAAGAAGCTTTGGAGAGAAGCTGGCAAAAGAGCAGCTGCCATTTTATACTCAGAGGCAAGTTCTCCTGCCTTCTCTGCTCCTCTTTCGACATTGTTTACTTGTTAGTTTTTAAACTGAAATTCTTTCCCATAATGATCTATAAACCTTCTGGCAGGACAGCATACTGTGCACTGGACAGAGGAAAATAAGCTTGGATACAGTAAAAACAACTGACCTTCCTTTTTCCTTAAAAAAATGTTCCTTTCTTCTAGTTTGCAAAATTTGCTGCAGCTTCCTTACTTCCTGATTCCAGGCAGCCTGGAAACGGAAACACTGAAGTCTGGGGAGAGGCTAAACTTTCAGAGTTTCCAACCCAAGACAAGTTGAAAACAGGAATCATGCATATATGCCGCCAGGCAAAAGGGAATAAACTCTGCCAAATAATTGCTAAGGCTGATGAGTCATCACAACAAACCCAACAAGGGAGGGCCATTAATTCTTCTGAACCGTTTACTACTACAGCTCCTGTCCTGATTTTCTAGTTGCTGTCATGAAAGGCAAGAAAAATACATAAATTATTATTATTAAATGCTAAGAAGATCAAATTAGCTGCCAACAATCTAATTTTCTTTGAAACATATACAACATTAATGATGCAAGAACATTGCTTGAAAATGGCCAGCAGCCTACAGCTCCTAGCAATTGGCTAAAATTACAGGTTTACTACAACATGGAGGCGGATGTGATTAACAAAAGCCTTTCTTTTCTACACATCACCTACAATCAGATGGCATATCACTTTTTTCTTAGGCCCTTGTCAATCTCTTCAGTGTCTGAGAGAAGATCCCCCCCACCCCTCCAGCATAATCATAATCCCACTACCTTTGATACTGCTGTATTGCAGAGACAACGCTCTCAGCATGTGGCTGCACATCTTGGGAAAACCGTAGCAGTTCCTTAAGCTGAGCCTTCAGCCTCTCAACCTTGGACTCTTCCGCAGCCAGAGCTGCTCTCGTTGCCTTAATCATAAAAATAATGAACAGATCACACCTCATGTAGTGTCTGGCACATGAAATGAAAAGATAAGGCTGTCTCTCAAGGTATTCACAAGTCCCCTTTCTGCTGCCTTTTTTCGTGTTGCAATGAATACGGACTTTACGAAGGCACAGAACATTCTCAGGAACAGTTTTGTTCCCGCAGGCTCTCTCTTTCCTCCCCTCACACTGCCTAGCCTCTGCATCTCATCTGCAGGGTTCACTGTTTGAATGAAGAATCACAAACAGGCCTGGTTTCAGTTCACTGATCGCAGTATGAAACATGAGATGCATTTTTGGAGCAGTCTTAATGACGTCTGTTTGCAAGAACAGATCTCT